TTTGTGTTGTGACGTTTAATCGTCTTTCTCTATATACAGGATGTCTACTCATTTTTCTGGATAACATTACCTGAGTTTTCCAAGTAAGTAAGCCCAAGATCTAAAAATATACAATGTCTTGAAGTTTCGTATTCCATGTACATGTTCAAGAAATTGAAAATATTCAAAGTGCCAGAATTAAGTAAACAAATAAATGATTTATTTCAAGTTCATAATTAGCTTTATGAAAGATTAGAGATCTTCAACTCCATCAACTTTACAACAATTGTAGGAACTTTGGAGAAGTTCTGAGGAATGAAAGGAAATGCTGAGAATTTCAGTGAAGCTCTATAAACAAACTGCAGGAACATAAGGGAAGTTAACACGCTGAAAATATGGGAAACTTACTGGAAGCTGTAAGAACCTCAAAGCGGTTCTTTTATGAAGTTCCTAGAATTTCAGAGAACCTAATAGGTGTCAAGTGAACTTGAGAAATTTAGAAAACTTGAGGGGTATTGGGCAAATTTTTAAGAAGTTCTAAGCACCTCAGAAAAGCTAGATAGATTAAGTTCCGGAGATGAACCAGCTGAAAATCTCCTTAATAAAGACAACCAACCAACCAACCAGATAGATTAAAAATCTATAATCGTAAATGGAGGATGTGCTGAAAACAAATCGAGAACCCTTAAGATGTTCCGCGAATTTCCGGGAAGTACAGAGACCTTCAGAGAATTTATGAAACTTATGAAATATTTCAAAAACTTCACAGAAGTATAATGAATTTCAGGGAAATTCAAAGGTGTTTACGGGAATTCTATTTATTTCCTAGCAGAACCGAGATCTTCAATAGAACTAAGAGCTTTGTGGAAGCTTCGAGAACATCAAGACAGGTCAGAGAATCAAAGTCCATCAAATAATTACAAGGAAATAGTAAAACCCATATAGAAGTTTCGAGAAACTCAGGGAATTTCCGGAAACTTCAGAAAAGCTCCGAGGGACTTTCTGGAACATATTTTAAGGGTGTTATACCATGGAGATTTCGAGAACTTAAAAAATACGAAAATTTGATCCTAAGTTGATAAGAGAACATCAACAAAGTTCCTTTAATTAAAGACAAATGTGAGAACTTTAAGCAAGCAGCGATATCTTCAAGACATTCAGAGAACTCCTAATAAATTTAGATATTTTTAGATAGTTTCATGATATTCAGCGAAGTTCCGAGTACTTCGAGGACGATCAGATAGCTTCAGAATAATCCCATTAACTTAAGAGAATTTGTAGCGACTAATAAGGAGTTCCATGGAATTATGGGGTATTCCAAGAATTCTATGATTGATCCGAAAACGTCAGAAGCGTCAGGGAATTAAGAATATACATCAGAAAATTTGCCGGATTATTAAACAAATTTAGAGAACTTAAGGTAAGCATAGATAAGTTCAGGGAAAATTAGCGATTGTTAATAATGGTTATAATACTTAAGGAAAATTGTTGAAACTTCAAGGCAAATCTATTAATTTCAGTAAAGTTGTAAAATACTCACAAGTTCAAGGCAGTTTAGAGAACTTTGAAGAAATTCAACAATCGTTTAGGTACCACGAAAGTCTAGACTATTGAAGAAGTTTTAAATTAGTGTCGATAATTTAAGGGCTGTTCCATGAATTTCAGAAAAATCTTGAGAACTTCAGTGGAAATCATAGAACTGTATTAATTATTTCGTTCTAATTCCATGAAAATTGCGGGAGCACAAAAGTTCCAGAAATTTTGGAAAACTTCGAAAACTTTACAGAAGAACAGTGGTCTTCAGAAACATTTCGAGAACTTCTTAGAAATCTACGGAGTTTAAGAGGAGATCCACGAACTTTTTTATGAACATTAGCAAAATTCGGGAGCATCCTAAAAATTGGTAGAATCTCAGGGGGGGAGGTCAGTTCCATTAGTTTCAGAAAATTAGTGGGAAATTTAAAGCAGTTCCCAGATTTTCAGATAACTTCAGAGACGTCAAAAAGTTAATTGAGGTCTTCGCATAAGATCAGAAGTTCACTGAAGCTTAAACATTTTTAGGACCGCATGAGAACTGCAAAAACTTTAGAGAAGTTTTGAGAATTTCAGAAAAGAATACAGAACCTCAGAGCAGTTCCGTTAACATGAGAGAAGTCACATCAATTTTAAAGAAATTTAGGAACTTCAGCGAATTGTTAAACCTTTAGAGGAAATCCATGATCGTTAGAAAAATTGAGGAAACTTTAGAAAGTCCTATAAAGTTCAGGGAAGTTTGAATTTGATGAGAAGTATTGTGGGCATCAGGCTAGTTTCTCAAACTACAAAAGAACTTCAAGGCAGTTTCAATAACTTCAGGAAAAATTTGGGAACATTCAAGTAGTTCTGAAGCCTTCAGAATAGTCCATTCCATATCTAACGGAGATTTCCATTGAAATATTTTTTTTATTTTTTTAGTTTTCCTCGGAATTACCTTGAAATTTTCCACAATATGAACACTTAGAAAAGATTCTCCGAATATTTATTGAATTAATTTCCGATTTCCTTTTGAATCTCACTCCTTTCCTTGGCATTCTACTCACATTGAAAGTCTCCTAAGAATTCATTGGCATTTCTCCTAACAAATTCCTTCGATTTCTTCTCATAATTTGTTTGGCAAACTCTCCTGAATTTATTTTCCAAATTCCTTCGAAGATGTCCTGGAGTTATTATTAGACTTAGTTGTAATCCTCCTTTTAGTATTTTAATACAAATTTCAATGACTTATGATCTGGATTCATTTTCTACCACAAATCTTATGAAATTATCCTCAGAATACCCTTGGAGTTATCATTAAAATTTACTTTTAATTCAATTCAGGGTTTTCTTGAAATTCTACTCAAAACTATCAGGCTTCACATGAAAACAAAATTCCTCAGAACTACCTTGAAAACAGATAGCATATGATGTTTTTCTGAAAGATCTTTTTCCAGAACTCCCTTGGAATGAGGTCATTAGAAATAATAATAAAATTCCACGAGCCTTTAAAACTGTGCATGGAATTTGACTCCAGATTCTTAAAACTTCTTGAGGTATTATAGCTTTTGTGTGCCATCATATCGACTACTTTTCTTCTCTTAGGTCACTTTTTAGTCACTATTTTAACAACTTTAAGTCACTATTTGGTCACTTATTTATTTAACATGGTCATTAAAATCACTATTTTTGACAGCAGTGATCACTACCAGCCCTGCAAACAAGGGGTGAAACAAAAAATATTAAAACCTGTTTTTTAAATAGTTGAAGACATGCTTGAAATGCACAGTTGTACACACCAACTGCTCATTTGTTAATAACTTTTCAATCAGTTGTTGAAATTAGTTTTTCTTTATAGTAATTTATAGATCAGGATCATAGTTTACTATAGATATGCAAAGAGTAGGTAAATCTTATCATTTGAATCAACACCAATGAATTTTTACACGTTAAGTCCGAGATGTACAGCGAGCATTTCTCACTTCATTTTTACAACACAAAAAAAAATATAGTTTAATTCTAGAAATAATATCTATTTTTTTTAACGTACCTATAACAAGCTTACATTTTATTCTATCTACTGCTTCAAAAAGAACTATGTTTCGTCAACTGTGTGCAAAGTTATTAGCAAATGAGCAGTTCGTGACCAAAACTGTGTATGCCAAGCATGGTTGAAGATGCTAATTTCAAATAACAGACTAAAGTGGTAATTTTTATACGATAGATGAGGAGATGAAAGTATAGAATTGATAGTTCCGTTAGAGTACGGCAGTGTGAAAATTGCATATAGAGAGTAGAAAGCGAGCAAGAACAACTTTAAGAAGGTACAAATCGGTTTGATCATCTCTTTACCAAATTCCCCGGTTGGAGAGGAATGGTGAGGGGTATTCCCCCCCGCCACCACTGGCAAAAAGAGATGATCACCGACACGCTCAAGTACCGACGATGTGTTTGAAACAGTTCTACCGATTTTTACCGCACTCCAGTTGTTATCTGAAGGAAAGCCTTCAGTCGTAGGTTTGGAAATTGCAGCTATTGTTACCTCTACCACGGTATGTGCTCCTGTCATCGTCGACTTGACGTCCTCGAGGGGACACGGGCTCGCTTTCTACTCTCTATATGTAATTATCACACTGCCGTATTCTAACAGAACTATCAAATCTATCGTATAAAAATTACCACTTTAGTCTGTTATTTGAAATTAGCATCTTCAACTATACAAAACGTTGACTTCACGCAGAAGTAATACTAAACATATAGTCAACGTGTTATTTAAATTCTCAATTTTAAATAAATTTCCAAAATCTCGAAGTTCGCAACTCCATAAACTTATTAACTCAGATTGCGCCCAAAACGAGCTAAATGTAGCCAATATTAAATGCAAGCAACAATACCCTGGTGAGTGGTGAGTCCATATAGGGCTGCACCAGTATGAAGAAGGGAGGGTGCAAAGCAAAGAAAGAAAATGTGAAAAGGAAACCTCGAATTAGGACACATCACCCGTGTAATCGTGGCACCACCGCGCACATTCCCTTATGTACGGCCCACAGGGATACCCTTTAGCATTTAGACGAGACCATTTTCTTCCCCCACATCACCCCTCCGTTTGTTATCTTTATCCAGCGATTCCAATCTCCTTGTTTGGCGTGACGAGGTAGAAGTTTTGGAATGTCATTGTTATGGAGCCAGTGTGAACCATACGGTCTCTATGTACCTACTACGATTGGCCCCTCCATTTATCACTGAAGTAGATCTCCCCGACTGACAGATTGCACATCATCTGCCAACACAGAACGCTCAGTAGCGTCGTAAAAAGATGAATTATTACCCGGGAGCCGCTTTTCACCAGATTCAATAAATTTCCTCTTTACGATTTTCTTTACGGAATAAAATATTGTTTTGATTGATCCGAATCACTTAAAAGGCAGAATGTGTGCAATGCATTACTCGAATCGGGGTTCGCCTGCTTATGGACCGACAGATGAATAATTTATAGCCATCGGCCAGACCTACTACGATTCGGCTTTCCGCGTTTCTCCTTATTGCCGTGAGTAGGCATTCGATTAGTAGCGAGCACAAAAGAATAACAAATCTGGTTCGTGTTTATCCAACGCGCGTAGCACCACACTCTAGAACATTTCACCCCCACTTTGGTCCTCCGCCCATCGGCCACCTCCTCGCTTCAGCAAATCCCACACTTTAATTATACCACAGGTTCCCTTTTTTCACGTAAGACTCCAGCGAATAAAAAGAAAATCTGCACACTCCCGCCGAGATAAAACATAACCACCGAGTAACGAAAATTTATTGCTTTCACCACCACCGAACCACTTAAACGGGCGAAATTATTTGCGATTCGCGGCTCATTTCCAGCTGCAAAACCACTTTCCAATAGCGAAGCCAATTTTTAATGCGAGTGCGAAAGTCCCAATAAGAAAGACCACGGAATCGACTAACAATCCAGATCGAATGAAAACTTCTCGCTCACTGACGTCGGATCGGAACGAGTGCGGAAAATTCACACCGAGGAAAACGAATCTCACAGCACACGTGTGTTTTTTGCCGTTCGGGCGCTCTCTCGCTCCCACAAGTTCACATACATGGGATGGAAGACTTTTCCGCTCGCACTCTCTGTTTATTTGCGAGGCTAAAAGGGGAGATCTGGAAAATCTTTCAAGCCCCAACATTTACTACTGAAGCTTGATTTACGGAGTAGATGTTTCCCATTATATCAGAATGTTACCGAACACCATCAAAGCAACCCCCAACTCAGCATTGCGACGTCGATTTGTTTTGATTTTGAGTTGAAAAGAGTAGCCTTCTTGGTGGCTTATTTCCGCTCGCAGCAGCTATGCGACGATAACAAAACAAAGCATATTCAGCTCTCCCCGCCGCCAAGGCGCATGCGTTTCTCGGTGTTGACAATTGTGCTACATCAGATAGGGTAAATGACGGGTTTGGTAATACCTTATTCTATTATCGTCAAGGTGGTAAACAAAGTTCTTGAGAGCTCAATTTTGGCATGCGGATACATTGTGCTTCAGAGCATCTATTGGCCAAATTTGAGTGCTCTAGGACTTTGCTCACCCCCTGACGATACTAGGTTAAGGTATTGCCGAAGCTGACATTTCCCCTACCTATTCCATTGACTGCTGCTAGATGTTGTTCTGTTCATCTTGGATGAAAGATTAAGTGCATTCAAATCAAACGGGACCTGCAAAGCATGATGAACTGTGTTGTTATTGTTTCGTATTGTTTGAGGAGCTCTCATGTGGCAAAAGGTAATGAAACCTGCCACTTGTTAGTTTTGCGTGCCTTTGCTTTCTTCGAAAAGTGAAGACGCTTGGTACTTTACAGCACGGTACTATAAGTCGCTTTGGTGGAAACGCATGGTGACTTTCTCAATTAAAATAAAAACGTCATCCAAGAGGGTGTTGTGTTTTAGTAGAGTCAGTCACGGAAGTCCGGATCGCAAACAAGGACAAGCACTAACTTCTCAGTTATTTAGAGAATCAAATTTAACTTTATTTTACGTTTTATTAGAGAAGAATATATAACAATGTTTCTCTTGTGGTTGCTCTTTTGTTCTAACGCGCTCGGTAGTCAATCGCCACGTCGAGCCACGTTCGTGTAGTTTTGCTCGTTTCGGTTGGCAGCGTCCAGTGCTGCCAGGTTATAACAGCTCTCCCCCTGGTAAAGAAGTTTCTCCGTGATATCAGAGGTTGAGCCGTGTCGGTGGTCGAATAGTCCTCTTCGAGCGTCGCAGACCTTGGTCCACCAATAAATCACCTGGGCCCGTAGACCTCAGAGATTCAGCGTGTTCCCTCGCACTGGATACCGGCACCGTTAGGGGTCGGATGGGAGTAGGGGGTTTTGCAGTAGTAACGTTGGGTGTAGGATCAGGAATGTCTTCGTCATTTGTACTGTCTTGGGGGTTCTGAGCCCTTCCAGTTCCAGGAACTGTAGAACCAGACGGAGTTACTGCGACAGTCAGACCACTCACCGCGCGCAAAGAATTCAGACGTTGAAGAGCTCGCAATCCCTTGCCCAATGCTTCGTAGCTGGTCGATATGGCGCTTCCATACCCGGCCATCATCAAGCAAAATTAAGTAATGCAATTTTCCAAGACGCTTCTTGACAATACCGAACTCCCATTTATTATCTTGGACATACTCACGTGCAGAAACTCTTGATCCAATTTCCAATTCGCGAACTTTAGCTACAGTTTCACGGTTCTGCAAACCAGTGGACGGAATCATGAGATCCAAACGAGAGCGGATTTGACGGCCAAAAACTATCATGGAAGGGGAAAGTCCTGTGGCAGGACGAACCATTTTTCTGTACGACATCAAAATAGAACACAGCTCAGCATAAACCTGAGACTTATCGCACCTAATGGCCTTCAATTTCAGTTTCATTGTCTGAATGAATCGTTCGGCTTGGCCGTTTGTAGCCGGATGGTAAGGTGCACTGAACTTATGAACAACACCGTTCATTTTCAAAAACTTTGCGAAATCTCCTGATGTAAATTGAGGACCATTGTCGCTCACGAATACGGAGGGAATACCGTATGTACTGAAAAACTGTCTACATTCTCGAATTGTTGTTTCAGTTGTCATATTCTTGACAATATGTACATCAGGCCACTTAGAGTGAGCGTCAATGAGAATTAAGTAATAGTAACCCGCATAATCTGCATGATCCCGTTGAAATGGTTCTGAAGGAGTCTCCCAACAGTGAAACAAAACTTTAGGAGGATTCGATCTAGTAGCTTTACATGATGCACAGTTTTCGACAAGATCCTCGACATCCCTGTCAATACCTTCCCACCAGCAATAACCTCGCGCAAGGGATTTAATTCTGGAAACTCCGAAGTGTGGTAATACAAATACAATGATAATACAATCTTTCTGAAGGCTGAATTCTTCCTGACTGACTCCGAAGCGAAACTTTGCATGGACCGTCCTACCAGGTCTCAAACCACGAATCAACTCACGCACGCTACTATCCGCAAGAGTGGCAGGTCCTAACTCATCTACTGTTAGGGGCAAAGTCTGGATTGAATTGATTTCAATTGCATCAGGCTCCTCGATTTCGAATTCTGGATCAGTAACAGCTACTGGTAGACGGGACATGGCATCAGCATTGCAATGGTCAGATGATCGGCGGAATCGAATCTTGTAATCAAAATTCTGCAGAAAAGCAGCGTAATGCTGCATGCGCATTGCCGACATCGTTGGGAGGCCCTTACTTTCCGAAAATATTTGGCTAACTGGCTTATTGTCAGTCACCCACGTAAACTTGCGCCCGTACAAGTATTGATGAAACTTGCGAATCCCGAACACAATGGCATAGGCTTCTTTATCGATCTGTGAGTAATTTTGCTGAGTGCGGGTCAACGTTTGAGAAGCATATTGCAGCGGTTTATCAGTTCCATCAGCGAACTGATGGCTGAGAATGGCACCGACACCGTAGGGTGAAGCATCAGTGGCGAGTATCAACGGCAACGTTGAATCAAAATGAACTAGAAATCAGATTGCATTTCCCTTTTCACCAAATTGTAAGACTTGTCACACTCTTTAGTCCATGAAAACGGAACATCATCCTTCAGAAGATTATTCAGCGGATAAAGGATTGTGCTCAAATTCGGGAAGAAACGACCGTAGTAACTTACGAGTCCGACAAACGAACGCACCTGTTCCTTGTCGTTCGGGACAGGCATGCTTTGAATAGCATCCACCTTCCTTTGAAGCTTATGAATTCCAAATTTAACAACCAAATATCAAGGCCGAAGTAGTCCTTTGTGAGTACTGAGAGTCAAAAGACCTCTATCCTCAGCTCGGACTTCAAGCTGCAAATAAGCCTGTGACAAGTCTATTTTTGAGAATCGCTCTCCCCCGGCAACAGCTGCAAACAATCGTCAACCAGCAAATGGGGATTCACAGTGATCTTGTAATCACCACACAGCCTGACCTTGCCGCCAGCCTTCCTAACTGGAACGACAGGTGTAGCCCATTCAGAATGGTCAACTTTCTCTCAGATACCACCTTCTACAAACCTATCAATTTCTTTTTCGACAGCGTCTCGAACAGAAAATGCCACTGGTCTTTGTTTAATGTACACATGACGCAAACTCAGCGAAGCCTGAATGCCGGTAATTTTACCTACTTTTCCATCAAAAACACGAGAGTATTTGTCCAACAGATTTTTCAAATCGAATGAACTCCGGGCTTGAAAACGCTATTGTAATCGATATCCAATCGAAGTAACCAGTCACGACCCATTATTGGATGTCTGTTAGACTCCGCCACATACAAAGGTAATGTGAGCTCATCACCGTCTGAAATTATTTTTACAAAAATTTTCCCGAAAAAATTAATGTCGGTGTCGCAATAACTCACCAATCTAGTCGTAGTCGAATGTACTGCAAAACTCGAGAAGTATCGTCTGTGGTCCAAGGAACTGATAAGGGAAACGGGTGATCCGGTGTCCACTTCGAAAGTCAGCTTCTTCCCGTCGATCGTGAGATCCAGCATGAATTTATCAGCAAACCCTGGCAAACTACGCAGCTGGAAAACATCCTTGATCACCGGTGAATCTTCGATGTGGTGAGTAACAACCCTCTCCGAGGTCCTCTCCTTGTTGCCACGCAGTTTCGACTGGCAAACCTTCTCCAGGTGTCCCTTCTTCTTGCAGAAGTTGCACACTGTTGACTGGTGTCTGCACTTATTAGCGAAATGATCCGTATCACCGCATCTGTAGCAAGCTTTCTCCTGTACATTCGGCTTCGGTTTCACCTTCGGGGCTGGTGACTTCGGAATCACCTTCTTCTTCTTCTGTTTTCCGTGTTCCAGGAACTGCACCTCCGGTTTCGAGCCATGCATTTCGTCAGTGCCTCTATGCGACATCTCCATGCCGAAAGCGATTTTCTTTGCTTTGGCTAGCGTCAAATCACGTACCTCCAGTAGGCGGGATTGAATGGTACGATTTCGTAGTCCGAAAACAAACTGATTCCGGATCGCAGTATCCAGATGGGCACTAAAGTTGCAGGTTTGGGTCAGCTTCTCCAGATCCATAATGTAGTCGCACAATGCCTCATGGTCCAGCTGCTTCCGGCAGATGAATTTGAAATTCTTCGAAATCTCCAGCGGAGTCGGACTGTAATGCGCCTTCAACAAGGTAACGATGTCGTACGTCGTACGTAGGACCACCCATGTAGTGAAGTAGGCAGTCACGCTTGTCCTCCTGAGCAACCTTGTAGATCCGGAACGAAATTTCCAAACGTTCCAACCAACGGTCGAATTTAGCAGTAGCCGCACTGAACGGCTCGAACGTGAACGTGCTAAAAAAAAGTAGAAGGGTCTGTGCCTAGGGGCACGAACGGAAGCTTGACGTAGGACCACTAGTGGACATTTAGTTCTTTAAATTGATCGATCATCTATTATCTTAACTCTTTCCGTTTTTGAATTGT